GATTCTGTTCATCTGGACGTAGTGAGTGGGAGAAACGTTTCGTCACTCATCCAAGTGACTTCTTTGCCAATGTTGTGATGTTGTGCCAAAAAGTAATCTGTGTCCAAGAAGTAATTAACAGTATTTAAAGCTATCAAGTATTTGTCTTTCAGCTTGCTCTGAAGAACACAGGTCTTTACCATTAGGCTCCCTACTGTTGTGTAAGCAAAAATGCTGAGTGTAACTCAGGTTTTCCGAAGATTGAGATTTCTGATCATTTGGCAGTCATTGAATGCATCACAGCACGTCATTAGCCATTTCCAGGCATCCATGAAAACAGAATTTATTAAATTTAAGTTAGCAGGGAATTTGCTCGCTAGTTTTCACCCAGGCATAATATAGCATGTTCTGACTGAGAGATATCTGAAAAAATTAAAAAATAAAAGTTGAAGCGAGGGTTCCCGATGGTTAGGGACAAATGCAGTTGCTTGGCAGGATCCTGCAAAGAACCAAACTTCAGTCAGAACAACTGAGATAATCCATCCACAATACGAGGTTAGTCATTATTTACTGCTGCATGAGCTAGGTTGTAGTTAAATCATAAGGTTTTAAAACCCGAGAGATTTCCACAGTGATCACTGACTTTTTTTTCTTTTCTTTTTTTTGGGCCTTGTTAAGATGGAACAAAATACAAAGCATTACAACATGTTAAAAACACAACAGCTTTAATAAACAGAGTAGTCTGAACCCAGGAGCAGGATTCATCACGTCATTTAAAGACCGGATAGGCCTAGTCCAGGTCCAGGCCTTGATGTTTTCATGCCTAAAAAAGTTGAACAGTGTTTGTTTTTGGTTTTTTTGTTTTTTGTTTGTTTTGTTTTTTTACATGAACAAGCCTGTATTTTTTTTGATGTTGAGACTGCTAGATGAGCTGTTAGTGATACTGGAAGTCATGAATATGCTTTGGTTAATTCTCCAGCATCCGGGTGTGTGTAGGCTGGTTTTTCCTTTGGTATCCTGTTCCTACTGGATGATGTTCCTCATCTGATGACTCCACTGAAACATCCTACCTGGTAGATGGTCGTTGCTGCAAGTGGATGCTTCTGCTTTCTGGATGCTGTTACTGGATACTACACTGTTCCAACAGGGTGGTAGGAACAAATTGGAGGGCCCCAACGTTGCACTTTACCTTTCCCTGAGCTCAGGTGTTTGTTTGTTTTTTGGCCAAAGGACCTTGATAATTTTTTTTGTTTTTTTTTGGGAACACTGAGTGGAAAGACAGTAAAAGAAAAGGGTTATTGTTTAAAATTGTGTTTTAATAAATGTGTCTATGTTAAGTGAGTGTGGTGTTCGTTGTGTGCTGGAGGTCTTACTGTTCCTATGGTGGAGCAGCTACTACCAAACTCCTTTACAAAACTAGCCTCTGATGGGTTACAGAGTTTTGGGACACATTTCAATTCTTGTAACCTCTTTCTATAGAAACAGATTTTTTGGGGCCTAAAACATTGTGTTGTGGTGAAATTGATGATACAGACACTTAGTGAATTGCTCAAGGTCAATAGTCCTGATTTCCAAGCATTAAAGCTTTGGTGTAAGTACAGATTGCGTTACACAAGGATTCTTTAGCCATAAATGACTCATAACAAAAGTCAAAACCACACAAAGTGCATGCTGCAATGACCTCAATGGGCAGTAACACTGCATATTAATTTGGGTCTTAGCTGCTGTTCTTGAATTTACTTTAAGAATTTATTTTTAACAATTATTTTCATTCACTTTAAAACTTCAACTAAAAGTTTGTTGGAGCATCATCTGTTTTCATAAACTGAAAACAGTAATGTTTAAAGCGTTCATCAATGGCTACGAATGATGTGGTTTCCTGGAAGGGGATGAGCTTCTTATCCATCACAAGGTAGTATATGTTAATGGCCTCCCTGCTGGTTCCAGATACAAGGAGGTACAGCTTGCAATGTCTTTCCTGGTGCTCCAGGTGTTCATCTAAGATGATCTGTGACTAAAGTGAGAAACAAAAATAAAGCAATTGGAAACTCTTTTCTCTTCACTACATTCCCCACCAGAGTCATCTCCACCGTTTACCAAACAGAGGACACTGATGACGAACCGCTGGAGAGTAACAGACTACAGCGCAGACGGCAGAGTTCTCATGTCGGTTCTCTGCCGTTTTCTGAAGACGTCGGCAAAGGGTGCTAAGAGGAAGACAACAGCATCCAGAGCCCGACTCCACTGAGGAAGCGCTTCAGGATTTAATATAAAGTGAAGCATGTCGAACACCAGCAAGCCTGAACAAAGTGGTAAGTAGTAAATAGTGTTTAAGGTTGTTTCTAAAATTCTGTCCTAAAATATAGAAAATTGTCAAGGTTTTAACTTTTATTCTTTCTTTTCTGCCTCTTGTTTCTAAAAGTCAGGAAAAAGAGTCACGCTGAGAAGAAACTCCACACAGAAGATTCTCCCTCATTAAAATGGTAAATATATTCATCTTGTTATGACGTTTGCTCACAATAACCAGGAGTGTTCCTGTTGTTCTGAAGTGATTCACTCTCATTTGGTGTTATTTGTTCCAAAGACAACTGAGAGTGTTCAGAGCAGCGTGAACGGCAGTGACCTGAGAGCAAGAGAGTCCTCGTGCCTTTGTGGATCCCTTCAGGTACTCCAGCTTCTTCCCACAGTCCAGAGCGATGCAGTTAGGTTGAATGTGAGTGTGAATGGTTGTGTGTTTCTCTGTGTTAGACTGACCACCTGTCCAGGTTTTGCCCCTGCCTCTGACCCCATAACAGCTGGGATGGCTCCAACCTTGAACCAGATAAGCAGAAGAGATGGATGGATGGATGCACTGAAGGCCCTCTCACCAGCTTTCATTTATTAAATTTGTCTTTACTAAACAATTTCTGGTGTGTATTTGCATTGTTACTCAGACAGCAGCTCACATGTCCTCTTTCTGTTTGTGGTGGAAGATTCAGGCAAAAACATATTACATATATAGATTATGATATGACTCAGTTTCACATTAATTGCTATATGATAGTAATGAGGTCCAATTTAATAGTATTGCTAGTATCTAATGAAATGAATTGAACACATGTGATTTTGGGGTCCAGCAAAGTGAATAGTTTTCACTGTGGATAAAATACATGGAAAGGTTTAATGAGTCATATTTCACTACAAAGATGACGAGATTAAAGGTTCTCATAGATGTCGGTCAGAAGTTTTGCTCCATGCTGGATGTTAAATGTTGATCAATGTTTACACATATCTGCACATTTCTAACAGTTCATTTCACAGGTCATCAGTCTCCTGACTGCATATGCAGAGTTTTGTCATCATCATGAATTCTTGCTTTAGTTCCATTCAGTCACTCAACATCAGGTGTCTGCTTGTCCTGAGCTGTGAGAACTACAGTGAGTTCCTTTTCTTCTTTAGCTTAGTATTATTAAACCAGCTCGTAGCTGGGCACCTGCATCCCTGTCTATGGGACAGATCATTTCTGACCAATTGCATAACTGCCTGGTTTTACACAAAGAAATCACTTGTTGTCAGCAGTGATGAAAGTCCTACATGAACATAAGGTACAATTAAAATTAAAAAATTGGTTGAAATGAGTTTGGAAAATAATTGAGATTTTAAGTTGGAAAATATCTTTACTTCCTTTAGCATGCAGTTAGCAAAGGTGAAACTTTTCCACACGGGGATGGAGATTTTTTTTAAAGTTTGAAATAACTGGGATGCTGGCTGTCGTTTAATTTGTTTATTAAAAAAGTCAAGAATATTTTAGTGTTTAACGGTGAAAATAATGGACTGTTATTCATGTGTTTGGAAAGGAGAAATGGAAAGACTGAAAGTGGGGCCTGGTGTTGACTTACACTTATTCAAAGTGATGAAGTACCAACAGACACTAAACGTTACAGGCTGAAACACATCAACTGCTTTATTATTTCTAGTTTTAAATAAAGTGTAAGAGCAGTGTGCAACAACAAAGTGCCATAAAAATAGAAATAAAATTTAAATCCCTTCAATTAAACAGTCCCTAGTTAATGTTTTAAGTTCTAACTACTAAATATAATAAAAAATATATCAGAGAAATACTTCAGTATTGTAAATTCATAGACGTAGGTGAAACAAGGGAACAAGATGTATAAATTTGTTCTGAAAACTATGTAAACATGTCTAAACACTTTGGTAAAAATAAGAAGAACTACATTTGAAAATGAATGATTGGAATCCAGACTTTTGACTTTTTTGGTTTTCCTCAACACTCCGTCCTCTTAGCATTTTTGTTTTCAAGCTTTTCTAGAAGGAAAATCATTACATCACTGCAAGAAATCTGATGGCCAACTTTATTGTTAATACTAATTACTGCCAGTCCGCTCAGTCTTTCTTGTGCCGTGGAAGGTCTGTGGTAGTTTTTCTTATTGATCTTTTTTTGGAAAAGCTCAAAGTGCAGTGCACCTGTGTTGACCGGGACCTCCGGGTCAACATAGATGAACCAAAGATCAAAAAACAAACATCAAGAACAAAAGCTGCCATATCTGATGTCATATTATACTTAAACATTATGAAAACCCTTCAGTTTTTTTTGCGGTTTATTGTACGGAAAAGAAGTCTGCCAGTGGAACAATTGAGAATTACTTGAGAATTTTTTTTAATTATCTCTGCCGCCCCAGGCATAAGCCCCCCAAAGCAATTAATTCTTTTTTTTAAAGTTCGTTTATTATTTTTTATTATTAATTGTTTATTGCACTGTGAAATATAAAATATATATTTCACATAAAAAAAAACTATTTAAAAAAATTCTCCCCCCAAATCTCACAAACCTATTTTCAGTCTTTTAGTACGTTCTTTTAAATTAAATAATCAATTTTAAATAAGGCAATAAAGCAATGTAATACCTAAAGACGATATTTTTTTAATGTGTTTTGCAATGCATTATAGTAAGTTTAAGTCGGAGAGGGGGAGGGGGTCCACTGCCAGGCTCCACTAAGAAAACAGCTGACAGGAAACACGACCACTTTCACCGGAAAGAAGGAGGAACTGCTTTTATTATCGCCTGAGAGCTGCTGTAATGGCGGTGTCTCGACGTTCATCGCAGCAGCAACAACAGCAAAATACTTTACAGTCTCCGCCGAGAAACGGCTCTCTTTCTGGCGCTCCTCCGGGCTCTCCGCCGATGGCTTTGCTGACCTCGGCCGTCGGACCTTCGGAGAATGAGAGGGAGTGCAGCGGAGGGATTGAAATGGCTTTGGCCTCCCCAGACCTACCAGCCCCGGCCTTAGCGAGCAGTGCGAGCTCCACCACGACAACCTCTGGCGGAGGTAGCAGCAGCGTTTCGAGCCCTGGCTCTGGAGCTGCCAGTCCCACCGACGGCAGCAGCGGCATCGGTGGGGCGTTCAGGGAGTTGTTCGAGGCCTGTCGTAATGGAGACGTATCCAGAGTAAAGAGACTTGTGGATTCGGTGAATGTAAACGCGAAGGACATGGCTGGTCGAAAATCAACCCCCCTTCATTTCGCTGCGGGTAACGAGCTAATGAAGTAGCAACAGCATCTTGTTATTAGCTAACATACTGCGGGCGGCTAGCTAGATAATGTGTTTTGCTTGACTTGTTTAGTGCTAGCGCTAACATTTTATTTACATTTATCTTTCTTATATATTCCTTAAAATGTAACTATAATTTTAAGCTGTCGTTTTATAACTGTTTTATAAGCTGTGCCGCTAATAACATTTAGCTAGGAAACGCAAACCGTCGTATCTTTTAGTTAGGATAACCGTACGTTAGCATGAACTGCAACAAAAACTAACAGTATGCTACTACGTGTATGTTGTTTGCTAAGTTCCCAAGCCCTAAATTAAATACAACACCTCTGCAATTATTATAGGTAAGAAGTTTGTGTATCTATACGGATGCTTAATCGTATAAAGAGTATTTATATTTTAATATAGTTATAAAGTGTTGTTTTTGTTGGGATATTTCCTGTGAATGGCTAAAAGCTATTAATGTTAGCAGGATACTTATGCAAAACGCTTAATGTAATATAGATGGAAAAACTCAACGCACGTGCTTCTTTCAGGCTTTGGTAGAAAAGATGTTGTGGAGCACCTTCTGCAGACTGGGGCCAATGTTCACGCTAGGGATGATGGAGGTCTCATCCCCCTGCATAATGCCTGCTCTTTTGGACACGCAGAAGTCGTCAGCCTCCTCTTGTGTCAAGGCGCAGATCCAAATGCCAGAGACAACTGGAACTACACTCCGTTACATGAGGCTGCCATCAAGGGAAAGATAGATGTGTGCATTGGTAAGGATGCTAGCCGTTTATATCTACGGTTAGGCAAATATGGAATTGTGTATGTGTGGGAGTGAAAAACTTAATAAATATGTGTGTGAGACAGGAAAAACAGCCAGAGCAGGCTGAAAACATTACTTACACTGGGGTGACACACAAACAAATGCCTTAGTGTTTTTTTTTTTTCCCCTATCAAATTTCTATAGCCTATATAACCTTTTTATTTGTTAATTTACATAAACATTTGCCTATGCAGGGATGGCTGCCATGTAGAAGTACATCTTGTGGACTCATTTCAAGAGTAAAGAAACAGTTTGAACTAGGGCGATATGGCCAAAAATATTTATCACGATATATATTTGAAAATTTGCGATAACGATATAACTGACGATATAATTGATGCGAGACAAAATACAACTCCACAACATTACTAGCGCAAAAAGACAACCTTCCATTTATTTTCACTTAAACAAGAAGCTGGTTTTTATGTACATTAAAGCTTTATAAAAATGTAACAGTGCAAATGCAAATTCCTTGCTGAAAGTTTAACCAAAAGGCATTTCCAGTAGAAATGGGCTGACATATCCTGAGCATAACCATGTATAATATCCACTGAAGTTAAAAAGAGGTGCTTTGCAACATTAAACTGCAGTGTGCAGTACGTATTTTTCGGACCATAAGGTGCATGGGATTATAAGGCACATTAAGCGAAACAAAGCAGTCAGATAAATCAAACTTTATTAAACTCATTCTTGCTTCCTCCACTTCTGTACCATTGATTCATTAATGTTGAATTCTCTGGCAGCTGCTCTATTCCCATGTTGCAGTATATTAATGACTAACCTTGTATTGTGGATGGATTATCTCAGTTGTTCTCCTGACTGAAGTTTGGTCCGTTTACAGCACCCTGCCATGCGATTGCATTTGTCTCCAACTATCAGGAACCTTAACGTTAACTTTTATAAGTGTAAAAGTGTTAGTGTTCGTCCTCCAGCTTCACTGTTTATGCTAACATAGCTGTGTCGCTAGCGATCACGTAGCACATCATTATATACCAGCTAGCCCAACTTCAGTAACCCTACAAACGTCACTGCTGTTTAGTTTCCGGTCTTCATTTATGTTGGAAGTGATAGCAGAGCTGTACGTTTGAATTTTTCAGAAATCTCTCAGTCAGAACATGCAATATCATGCTTAGGCAACTAGCGAAACTAGCGAGCTAACTTCCGCTAGCTTCCTGCTAACTTCTAACTCCGTTAAATGTAATAAATTTTGTTTTCATGGATGCCTGGAAGTTAGACTTCATAGTTACACCTGGTAAAGCAGCAATGCTGATCGTTTTATTAAAGATGAAAGAATTTAGACAGTTTTTAACTCTAAGTGATGCTGCAGTGTTCTTTGACCTGAAGAATACGGAGTTTGGGACCCAGATTACTCCCAGATTTAAGCATCTTAGTCCGACAATAACGACGGCCGCTTGCATGTTCTGCAAAAAAGGTGCTTTGTCATGTATCTGACGGACAAACACCAAACCAGTTCCACATCACTGAAGTTGCACCATTTTTACAAACCAATTCTGGTTCATCTGTTTCGCTCAACAATCGGCCATGTGCGTATGAAAACAAGGGCACTGCGCATGCGCGTTTTACTCATATTCTATCGCGATATTTCATTTTCCTATCGTTGCCTAACATACTGGTATTACCGTGAATGATATAATATGGCCCAGCCCTAGTTTGAACTGGCATTATGAGCCATCCTAAGCCTCAGTCTTTGGATTATTTGTATAAATAAAATGTGCCTGTGTGGAAATAACTGAGGTTCTACTTGATAAATCAGCCGGGTTCATTCTCAGCACTTAACTTGCCAAACAAACAGAGACTGTAATTGCCCATGGAAAGTTATATCCACTGCAAACATTTATGTGAAGTGTTTTGCATGCCAGGCTCTAATCTAAGCGCTCATTTTCATCCAGATGAATACAAGACTGATGTCATTCTAGTTCTTTGAGTGTATGTGCAAACGTCTGATGAGCTGGAGCATTCATTGTGCGAGGTGGCGTTCTCCCCTGGGGCTCTTTAAAATATAGAGGTGGTGCCAGCTTGAACACTGTTTTCAACTTTGTGTCTTTTATTATTATCTATGCTGTTTAACCAGCCTTCCTCTTTATTAATATGCACAGCATTCTGAGTAACACAAAAAAGGAACGTTAAAATGCAAGTTTTTGTTTATTTCATCTTATCTTTTGCAGTGTTACTGCAACACGGAGCTGATCCTAACATCCGCAACACCGATGGCAAGTCTGCTCTGGATCTGGCTGACCCTTCAGCTAAGGCGGTTCTCACTGGTCAGTCTCGGTTAATGTGCCAAACAAACATAAGCAATAAATGCTATGTAAAGTTAAGTCACATGCCAATATTTATGTATAAGTGTTTCACACGTTTCTCTAATCTGAGAGTTTTTCTTGTTCCAGGTGAATACAAGAAGGATGAACTTTTGGAAGCAGCAAGGTGAGTGTGTCAATAGTTGATGACATGAAGTTCTTGGGTAAACTGCAGTTATAGAAACGATGCTGGTGTGTCCTGTGATTCTGTAAGCACATTTAAGAGTTAAAACATATGAAGGAGGAGAAAAATGATTGCATGTGATATCATTTTAATCTGACTTTAATTGACCTCGTCTTAGTTGCTAGTTTCCATCAATTTATTTTGATTTAACAACATCTGAGTCTTTTCAACCATCTAATTACAGGAGTGGAAATGAAGAAAAACTGATGGCACTGCTGACTCCATTAAATGTCAACTGTCACGCCAGCGATGGTCGCAAGGTAAATGAGCCACAAGTAGCACATTACACCAAATACATACATACACATTTACTAGTGTGTTTCCAAAACTTCAGATTTTGAGGGGGAAAATGCACGTTGTGTTTTTTTTGTTCGTTTGTTTTTTAATTCAGTCAGCATGTGTTTAAAGGAGTCTGAATTAGTTTGAATGGTGTTTCTATAGAGGATTTATGTTGGGGCCATCTTAATTTGAAAATACCTGTTTTAGACATTTCTTATTCTCTAATCATGCATGCGTGACTCTCATGAGACCATCCACAATCCATTTGCTGCTGTGAAATCATCCTCATTTTAACAGCATCAGTTTTCTTCAACTTGGCTTTTAATTGTCCAGCCTTTTTCAAGGAAACCACTAAAAGCACTATTTCAACCCAGTTTATCAGGCTAGTTGATTCTGTATACATTCTCTTGAAGCTAAAGTAGACATAAATTTACACGAAAAACCCCCAAAACTATATTTTTCCAGCATGTTTGGTCAGTTGTGAAATCTATTTTCTGTGGAAGCACATCTGGTCAGATCAAAGAACTAGGCTTAATGTATTCTGCACAGTTTATTTCTGTGTCATTTTCAGTTCTTAGTCTTTGTTAGTGGGACGTGATTACACTGTAAGCAGTGTTTAGATCACCATGCAGGTTTCCTCCTGTTAATTTTGTTTGTTTTGTTTTTTGTCTTCCTCTTTGTGGTTGAGGGAACTACATGTGTAATGGTACAAACACAGCTGGCACTCCTCTTTTAGACTTTACACACTGTTTATCATGGCTGATTTAGGTGAGGGATCTTGTTTCCATTGCATCCCTATGAACAGGAGCATTTACTCCTACTGTTTGTGTGTGTGTGTGTGTTTCTTTTTTCTTTTCTTTGGGAGGGGGGGTGGGGTTGGTCCCTCATGCATTATTTTCAAATTATTGAATGATTAGCTTTCTTATCCTGAATAAATGTGTTTATTTCTCTAACCAGCTTAAAACAAAACATAACTACTACCTTCATTATTCCATGAAAACTCATTGTTGCTAACAGTTTTTCAGCACATGTCATTCACTTCTAACCGTATTTTTTTCCATCAGAAATTAAAGTGTTACCTCTTTGCAGTAGAATTGATGTTTGCATGATCTAGGTCTGTAAGCCACTTTGGAGATGTGGTCTGGAATTTAAGCAGACCTAAGAAGAGGAGGAGCAGTCTCCACTGCATCCTCCAGCTACTTACCCTCTCTGGCCCCGTGTCACATTTAATCTCACACCGTCTTTGACGGATCAAACAGTGGTTATTGTCTTACTGCGCTTTATGTTTCACTGACTTTAAGGGAGAGAGAGAAATTGCTGTGAAAAGACACTGTCATTTTGTAATTTTTGTTTCATTTTGTTTTCCGTGTGACTCTGGCAACATTTGTCGATCAGTCAACATCACAAAAAATGCTGGTAAGTTGACCTTGATAACGGCCACTTAATTGATGCACTGTTGTGATCTTTTTTGTTTGTTTTTTGTTTTTATTCTTTTATTTTTAATCCATCGTTTTTATTTGACCAATAAGCTGGCTGTCACTTGTTAATTGCACATCATGGACCTGGGTGTACGGGTCACTCATTTATCCTACCCTGATGCTCCTCTGTTGTGTGTGCGTGAATGTGAGTGAGCGACTGAACTGGGTTGGTGTCATGGTGACGACTCATCTTTTTGGATTTGGAGAGGAGCACAAAATGCCCACTGCCTGCCTACTTCAGCGTCTGTCCTCTCTCCTCTGCACACTCACCCACACTTCTCCAGCTTTCGATCACTTGCACATAAATCAGTGTCTGATTTATCTTTTCATTAATTTTGTTTTTGATGATGGTGATAATTCATGCATGCCTGAAGGCCTGCCCCTCTGCACTTTGTTTGTCAATCGAATCTTGAATTTGTGTCATTGTAACTTGTGTATACTTCACATGTCCTTGTTGGATTAGTTGGTATGCAGTAATGAATGGTCTAAACTTAACCTGCCATTCTAGTGCTATGCTCTTCCCTCCATGTTGATTGCTTCTAAATTGCTTGTGTCATCCCAAACTGAATGAAGCCTCCATGATTCAACTCTCATTATTCAGAGCTGTTTTTTGTTTTTTTTCACTGTCACTTAATAGTCTTACATTTCTGCATTTTTATATTAACATCACTGCATGGATTGAAATGAAACCATGTCCCTTCTTTTCATTGTGAGCTTGACCTGAGCCAGATTTTTGAACAGTGAACAAATGCAATTGAAATGGGATTTGCAGCTTTGCTTATACTAATTCTCATTTTTCTTGGCTGAAATTAGGCTATTTGATTTTTTGTTTTTTCTCAGCCTGCTTATTGTAGCTTCACTGCATCCTATTATGGTTGGGATTCAATATAATTTTATTTACTCAATAGCTAGTATTGAATGATTGTTTTTATACACAGGTAATTGAAAAATTAATAGAAATTAAAATTGGAAGCATTTTTGTATGTCTCTATTGTTTTTTTCTTTTTATTTATTTGTTAATTATTTTATAACTGGAATTGGAAAGTAAGTCAGATATTGTATCCTAACCATAATTCACAAGCAGCCTTTTGGACTTTACTACTCCTCAGCTTACTGCATCAAACCTATTTTCGAAGTACTAAGACCTAAAAGATTTATTTTTTTGTGATCTTATCAATTGGAAATCGAGTTAGATGACTAGTGAGGTTAAAGTTGCTCGTCGTCGCTCAGGTCAGACATAGTAACAACAGCAACTGAATTTTGTTGTTGAATTTTCCCCACAAACTCATTGACTCTGCATCACGATGTCCGCCATTCATCTGCAACTCACCGAGCATAGCCTGCTCTAGCACAATTGCTTTTGGCCTTAATCAGCCGCTCGCTCATGTGGCCATCAAAGGCAGTATGCACCGACCCGGCCCACGAACGATGTTAACAGGCTTTCTTTCTCTTGCAGTCTACACCGCTGCACCTGGCTGCTGGGTACAACCGGGTCCGCATCGTTCAGCTCCTCCTTCAGCATGGGGCTGATGTTCACGCCAAGGACAAAGGGTGAGGCTTTTTTTTCTCTTCTCTCTTTTGTCCTTTTAAGTATAAGTCACGACACTAACCAGAGTGTGTTGTCCGGCAGTGGTCTGGTTCCTCTTCACAACGCCTGCTCCTACGGTCACTACGAGGTCACCGAGCTTCTGCTTAAAGTAAGACACGATTTCTTATTTGATGAGCTTGTGCTTTTAGGACTCTGGGTTGGTTGAAATGTTATTGAGCAATGAATAAGTGTAACTCGTTTCGCTTTGTAAAATCATGTCATGAGTTATAACTAGGAAATAACGTAGTGCTAGGAATTGTAATCAGACACTAATTACATTTTGTTATGTCAGATACTGATGTGATGAAACAAATGTTTCTTCCTTCTCCTGTACACGTTTTGTGCTGTTTCTCTCTGCAGCATGGAGCCTGTGTGAATGCCATGGACCTGTGGCAGTTCACTCCCCTCCACGAGGCAGCATCCAAGAACCGAGTGGAGGTTTGTTCCTTGCTGCTAAGCCACGGGGCTGACCCCACCCTCCTAAACTGCCACAGCAAGAGTGCTGTGGACATGGCTCCGACTCCAGAGCTGAAAGAAAGGCTTACCTGTGAGTTCTCGCTAAGCCACCTAAAAGGCTTCATCAGCAGGCATTTTTTTCCACAAAGATTAGCTTTCATGTACTTAGAAACCCAAATCATTAGACCATACCTAATTTGTCATTTCCACATCTCTTTTTAGATGAGTTCAAAGGTCACTCATTGCTGCAGGCAGCCAGGGAGGCGGACGTGGCCAAAGTGAAGAAGACGCTGGCTCTGGAAATTATCAGCTTCAAACATCCTCAGACCAACGAAACAGCTCTGGTCAGAATCAAGTCTATGGAGCTTGCCAGTAGTTTCTCTTAACATGCCTGTCTCTCTCTCTCTCATTGTGCTACCAGCAGTTCTTTGCATAATTCTGCATAATGAAGATGAAGCTCGGCACTAATATAATGTTAATGTGTATTTCAGCACTGTGCTGTGGCTTCACCCCACCCTAAGAGAAAGCAGGTGACCGAGTTGTTGCTGCGTAAAGGTGCCAACATCAATGAGAAGAACAAAGAGTAAGTTAACAACAAAAAGTTTTTAGATTGTATTTTTAAAAGTAAGAAGCAAATAAACTAGGAGTTCATCTTAAAGGTAATGAATGTAGCTGATATAATAATAATAATTATAATAAGCATTTTATTCCAAATTAAGCAACTTAATCTCTGTGGTCTAAGATGTGACATCATAATTGCAAAAAAATGTGTTGCAAGTAAAAACACATTAAAGTGCCGCAAAGACGTGAGACCGTGATGTAAAACATTTTAAAAAAACGAAAAGCTGCTGATTCAGCACTAAAGAGTGATAATGGTGACATGTTCTCATCTGTGACGTCTTTTAGCTTCATGACCCCGTTGCACGTCGCTGCCGAGAGAGCTCACAATGATATCCTTGAGGTGCTGCAGAAACATGGAGCAAAGGTGTGCTTTTGCATTTCCTTTTTGAAAAAATGTGGTCTTTGGGAGAGTTGTTGGTATGAAACTTAGAAACCTCTTTCGTTCTGACTCCAGGTCAATGCTGTGGACACTCTGGGTCAGACAGCTCTTCATAGAGCGGCGCTGGCTGGTCACATCCAGACCTGCAAGCTGCTGCTGAGTTACGGGGCCGACCCCTCCATTGTGTCTCTGCAGGGCTTCACCGCTGCTCAGATGGGCAACGAAGCTGTGCAACAGATCCTCAACGGTGATTACCGCACTTCTAACTTTCAAGAAAATGGAAAAAACACTATTTTTCTTGATCATCACATGGTGTATGTGAGTCCTTCTTTGACAGCTTTTTTTTTTTTCTTTCTCTTTTCCAGAAAATGTTCCCACACGTAACTCTGACGTGGACTACAGGTTTCTGGAGGCGGCCAAAGCAGGAGATCTGGATACAGTGCAAGTAAGTTCACTGATTCTTCTGCCTGATCATTCATGATGAGTTTCACAGAGACTTATTACTGTGATAAAATCTTTATTGTACACTTGTAAAATTTGTAGCACATCAGTTCCACATGCTCACTAGTAGCAGTGATATAAAATGTAATGTCTTGTAAACTTGGCTAATTAGAAAATGTACGTTTGGCAGCAACTTTGCACCCCCCAGAACGTAAACTGTCGGGACTTGGAGGGGCGCCACTCCACTCCTCTGCACTTTGCGGCCGGTTACAATCGAGTGGCTGTTGTTGAATACCTGCTACACCATGGAGCTGACGTTCACGCCAAAGACAAGGGGTGAGTTCTTAAACTACCATCTTACAGTCTGTTAGTTCACTAAAAATGTCATAAAAGACATCAGAAGTTATCATGTTTAAAGCCTTTTAAGCCGTAATTATCAGGACTTTAAACACATTTTCTTCCCTCTTAAATGTGATCTTTTTTTCTGCCGGTTTTCCTCCTTCAGTGGTCTTGTTCCCCTCCACAATGCGTGCTCCTATGGTCACTATGAAGTGGCCGAGTTGCTGGTCAGACATGGAGCTTCAGTGAACGTGGCCGACCTTTGGAAGTTCACCCCTCTTCACGAGGCTGCGGCCAAAGGAAAATATGAAATCTGCAAACTGCTACTCAAAGTAAGCGCCCACCCTCATGATTCTGACAGGAAAACGAATCACTTTGGCCTGGAAAGTCACTCAGTGTCATGTGCAACAAATATTTTTATAAAATCGATCAACTAAACCTTTCTGTTCAGCATGGAGCCGACCCAAGCAAGAAGAACCGTGATGGCAACATGCCGCTGGACATGGTGAAAGATGGGGACACGGACATCCAGGACCTGCTGAGGGGCGATGCCGCCCTGCTGGATGCTGCCAAGAAGGGCTGCCTGGCCCGGGTCCAGAAGCTCTGCTCCCCGGAGAATATCAACTGCAGAGACACACAGGGGCGCAACTCCACACCGCTTCACCTCGCAGGTACAAGCTCTTCTGATGTGTTTGTATACTTTTGTACTGAGTAAAAATACTAACTCACACACTGTTTGACATAAAAACTTGGAACATAATATGTCCTGTTTTTCTGGCTGTTGGTCTTATGTGTTTTGTATTTACACAGTATTTCCTTTGCATTTTATTCATGTCGAGCTGTAAAAAGAGTGGAGCTCAATGAGACTAATCTCATCTAATTAAATATGCATTAAAAAAGACTTTTCGAAGTGTGTTCATATGAAGGAAGTTGCACTGACTCTTTTTTTTTTTTTTTTTTTTTTTTTTTCTTCTTCTCTCAGCTGGCTACAACAACCTTGAAGTGGCGGAGTATCTATTAGAACACGGGGCCGACGTCAACGCACAGGACAAAGGAGGCCTTATCCCTCTTCATAATGCTGCCTCTTACGGGGTCAGTCTCAGCTACATAAACAGAAACATTTTTGTGGGTTTTGTAGCTGTAGATACGATGATGACCTTGCCATCAGCTCTTGAAAACTCTGTGTCAGTAACTGTGTTATTTTATTTAACTTGAAGTTCAGGGTTTAACTTGTGATCTGTTCCCTCTCTTCCTCGCAGCATGTGGATATTGCAGCCCTTCTGATCAAATACAACACGTGTGTGAATGCCACAGACAAATGGGCGTTCACACCCCTCCATGAAGCAGCTCAGAAGGGTCGCACACAGCTCTGTGCGTTGCTGCTGGCTCATGGAGCCGACCCCACCATGAAGAACCAGGAGGGGCAGACTGCTCTGGATCTGGCTACGGTAATGGCTCCTGTCTGAAAGAATAACTGTGATACTAAACGCACCATAAAATGAAATTCTGTACTTTAATATGTTTGCTCGTTGAAAGGCTCAGGCTGTTTCCTTTGCTGAATTTTTTAAACTTGTATATTCCTGCAGGCTGATGACATCCGAGCCCTGCTGATGGATGCCATGCCACCGGATGCCCTGCCCAGCTGCTTTAAGCCTCAGGCCACAGTGGTCAGCGCCTCTGTCATCTCCCCTGCCTCCACGCCTTCTTGTCTCTCAGCTGCCAGCAGCATAGACAACCTTGCCGGGCCCCTCACTGAGCTGGCTGCTGCCGCTGCTACAGGGTCCTCCGGGGTGGCAGATGGAGCCACTGGCACTGACCGCAAGGAAGGGGAAAGTAAGTTTGTTGCGGTCCTTATATCAAACACTGCTCAGTTTATAAAATCTTGTTAAGCAGACAAATCGGACATAAAAGAGATTGGGGAGCTTGTGTTACAATTATTTGTTTTATTAAATCTTCTGGGTTTTTTGTTTTGTTGTTTTATTTTTTTTCATAGTGGCAATGCTGGACATGAACATAAGTCAATTCCTGAAGAGTCTGGGCCTGGAGCACCTCAGGGACATCTTTGAGAGAGAGCAGGTCATAATGGCTTTTTCTAGCAAGCACACCTTTTACGCTGGACCTGTAACCCGCTGGTTATACGTTTGACCAAAATTAAATTATTAAAGGTCTCAATTTGTTGTGGGGTTCTTTTTTTCTCAGATCACACTGGATGTGCTGGCTGACATGGGCCATGAGGAGCTGAAGGAGATCGGGATTAATGCATATGGCCACCGACACAAGCTCATCAAGGGAGTTGAGAGGCTGCTGGGTGGCCAACAAGGTGAGGTGTAACCCAGTGGCTTTTGGGGGGATTTTTTTTGGTACTACTTTAATAGAGAGTGTGCATCTTTACACTTTGAATCTTGATCACTTCTCAGGTGGCAACCCATACCTGACATTCCACTGTGCCAGCCAGGGAACCATTCTTATAGACCTCGCCCCAGAAGACAAGGAGTACCAGTCAGTGGAGGAGGAGGTGAGCTGAGAAGCTGCATTTACCCAAAAATAGTGTCTCTTTTTTAATGCAGCTGTTCTAAATACCTGGTAAATTATTATGTAGCGATAGCTGGACAGAGTGCCTTATAACAAATCTTGTTGTTCATGTGTGTCACACAGATGCAGAGCACCATCAGAGAGCACAGAGATGGAGGCAATGCTGGTGGTGTCTTCAGCAGATACAACATCATTAAGGTCTGAATGCTGACTCTTTACTTGACTGTTTTGATTATCAGCAAAATACTGACCAAGTGTTGGCTATTTTTTAAAATCTTTATTTAGTATATTTTTGGGGTTACAAACCTCAATATTACAGCAGTTTGGGAGGAGTCATTAGTTTATGGTGTAAAACAAACACAACTCCCTGCATCCTGTTTGAAATGTACCCTACTGTATCACACAGATTCAAAAGGTGGTAAACAAGAAGCTGAGGGAACGTTACACCCACAGGCAGAAGGAGATCGCAGATGAGAACCACAACCATCACAATGAGCGGATGTTGTTTCACGGTAACCACGCCCACTGTCACACCATCTATGTGCTCTGTGTGTCTGCAGCAGACATAACAGAAAACCTGACTACTGTGTAACTTCATCCTGCCACAATTTCTTACAGGCTCCCCGTTTATCAATGCCATCATTCACAAAGGCTTTGATGAGCGTCACGCCTACATAGGAGGGATGTTTGGAGCAGGTATCTATTTTGCAGAGAACTCCTCAAAAAGCAATCAATACGTCTACGGCATCGGTGGAGGCACTGGCTGCCCAACACACAAAGACCGATCCTGCTACCTGTGCCACAGGTAACTTTTGGCTGTCACCCATTAAACTGCAGCACAAAGATGTTGTAGCAAAGTTTTGTTCCTGTACTCAGTTCATATGTTGTGACTTCTCAGGCAAATGCTTTTCTGCCGAGTGACTTTGGGGAAGTCGTTCCTACAGTTCAGTGCCATGAAGATGGCTCACGCTCCCCCAGGACATCATTCAGTAATCGGGCGGCCCAGCGTTAACGGCCTAGCTTACGCCGAGTACGTCATCTACAGAGGAGAGCAGGTAATTAAGAACTCGGGCCATAGCGTTAGCAAAAAGCAACACGTGCTGTGTAATATTGGCTGACACCCTGCTTTGTTTTCTTTAGGCCTACCCAGAGTACCTCATCACCTACCAGATCCTTAAGCCTGAGAGCGCAGGGCAGTCTGCAGCAGGAGCCGAGCAGAAGTCGTAGTTACTTCATGTTACACAAACTCACACAAAGACTCGATGCTTGCTTCTTTTTTCCCCCATTTGTATTGCAAATGCCTAAACACCGTTTTTATTTACCAAACACATTTCCAGTTTTCTGTCCAGTAGAGCCCATGGTGACCAGTGCTTCATGAGCAGATATGCTGTAATACTCCTCATGGTGATTTTCTTTTAGTTTTTTTCCTTTTTTCTGTTTTGGACTCGGCTGCATGATTTTACAGAAGCATGTAAAGCCCAATAGCGTGTGTGGGTTAGTTTTTTGTTTTCAATATGTCTCCCCTCCTCACCAGTGAGAAGGATGCCTGTAGAGACTTTGAAGTTTCAGCATTAACAGTTTGCCACTCTCTGTCGCCTCATACCTTGTGACTGTGGAGAATCAGCAGCAGCCGCCTTCGCCTCACCTCTACTCACACTTGCTGTCGAAACCTGAAACCTGTGGACTACTACAACCCTGTCGTGTTTGGGGTTCAAGACTGTATAGAATGGTCTGTGGTTAACTGTGACTTTAATGCTAACCTATAACACTACCATACATGTAACAGGTTGTCATTGCTATACTGTAATGCTGACGTTCCAAACTTTGAACCCGAGAACACTACAAAGACTGAACTGCAATGTTTAACGGTGGCTTTATTTAGGGTTGGGCACGATTGGTTGAGAAAGGGCGTCACAGAGTTTGGGACTGTTTGGGATATTACAGTACTGATTTGCTGGTCAGTGCAAGGCATCATAACTACGCAGCTAAATGTGTTTGTGTTGCCTTACAAGTGGACATCCTACAGCCAGTGAGCTCAAAGCACCCTTTCTGTCGCCATGGTTTTACTCACAGACATCACATCCATATGGATTTGCACTTTTACGTAGAAAACTATTTAAGTTATTTTGAAATTTAACTTGCAAGTTTGCGGAGGAAAAATATTTGTACAGGTTGTGTAAATGTTTGTGTATAACTGTTGCTGTTTAACAATTTTTTTTGAGTTAAACTGTAAATGACATCTGTATTTTTCCTTTAATGCCTTCTGATTCTCCTATACCTTTTTTGTTTTTTGTTTTTTTAATAAATGTCCCATTAACAGCTCCTTGTGTTTTGAGCGTCTGATTTATTATCCATTTCTTTTATGATATGTAAAGTCGAAGGTTAGGGATTTAATGTAGCTTGATGCGCAACTAAACCAGTATGATTGAAATTGCAGTCAAATAACTGGCATCTAATCGATAATATAATAAGAAGCTACATCATTGATACTCTGCAGAATGTTGTGTTTAATTGAATGTGCAGTGGTTTTGTGTCCATGCAACTGATGCACCGCTCACTTCCCTAAAAGACTACAACACTGTCGCATGTAATCTACGTTGTTGTGTTCACATGACTGCAGTCGCACTTTGCTAGTTTGTTAGAAACACTTGTTGGTGTCTTAAGTGTGTCTAGTTGAGCTATGGCAGAGCTTTTTCTCCTATTTACTCACAGACGACGTTTAAGTCACACTTCCCCACTCTCTTTATAACACACCGTGTTTGTTTTTTGTTTTTTTATTGTAGCCGTTTAAGCTAGCGGGTCGCAAATATGATGGTGTGGAAAACGTTTACATTTCTAGCTTTGCTCCTTTGCATTTCCGAAACTTCAAGCGCTTCCTATGTTATCACAGCTGACGTGCAAAGGCCGACAGGAGATCTTAAACACTTCTGGAGAAGCACTGGTTTCTGGTAGGTCCAGTTTTAACTTTTCCCGTGTGAGCGCCGAGCAGTAAGTGTCTGCCAGAAAGCAGAGATTCACTGAAACGGGACACTGTGGAATTATTTTTATATTCACTGTAGCAGAATACTTCAGAGGAAGTATTTAAAAAACGATGCACTTACTAGGAACACGTAGGACTTTCTCTGAGCGTAAAGGGAGAAAGGTAGACTATGGAGTAACTCACTGCCAAGGTATGCAGAAGAGCATCTCTGAGCACACAAGACATCAAACCCGGAAGTGGATGGGCTACAGCAGCAGACCAAATTTCTGACAACTAAGAACACATTAATGATGCATGCTCTGATGAGTGTCAGTATCTGCCACTCATTCAGGGTTGGCATGAACAACATGAGGGCCCTGCCTGCTGCTGGTGGTGCCATGGTGTGGGAGATATTTTCTTGGCATGCTTTGGGTCCCTTACTAAACGTTAAGAATCATTTGAACGACACAGCCTACCTGAGTATTGTTGCTGGCGATGTTCATCCTTTTTTGATCACATCTGTCAGCACCAGCATCACACACAGTGCCACAAAGCTCAAATCATCCCAAACTGGTGTCTTGAAAATTCACTGTACTCAAATAGCCTCCATATTCACCAGCCCACTGACAAATCTGCAGCAGCTATGTTATGCCAGTCATGTCACTACAGACCAAAGTCTCTGAAGATGGTTTCCAGTACATTGTTGAATCTGTGTCATGAAGAACTAAGTGAGTTCAGGGAAAAAGGGGGTCCAATCTGGTGTACCTAATAAAATGCCCAGTGAGTGTGTGTAGATATAGCACAAAGCTAAATGTTTGTCTGTGTTTTGTATCCAGCCCCCCACTCCCTCACACGCAGGCCCACGAGTATGACCTGAGCATTGACCAGCAGCTGAATTTGGCCTATGTGGGCTCTGTTCCTCATGGAGGGATCCAGCAGGTCAGGATACACTGGATGCTGGAGCTGGTGACTGCACAGTAAGTGAAGTAAATGAACAAGCAAGTAGGTAGCAAGTAGCATGACATGTGGTGGGTCATGTTTGCTCGCGATCGAAGACAAGCTTTTTGAATGTTGTTTTTGTAGGTTATAACTTACGGTAGTACTAAGAGTGGTCTCATCTAACTTTTTTTAAATTTTAGAGATATTGGAGGAAAACCTCAATATAACTTCACTAGACTGGACCGGCTGATAGAGCTATTATGGATGAATGGCCTTCAACCAGGTACTGTACTACAGTCCTGTTATATTTATTCCTGATGTACATTTGTCATCTGTTTTCATACCTTTTTATTGTTCGTTATGAGGTCATGGAAGAGTAAAACATAATTTCTGTGGTCACGACTACCACAAAAGTTGACCCTGCGCGGGCGACCGTGGTTCAGGGGGTTGGGAAGCTCATCTTGTAACCAGAAGGTTGCCGGTTCGATCCCCAGCTCTGTCTGTCTTGGTCGTTGTGTCCTTGGGCAAGACACTTCACCTACCACCTACTGGTGATGGCCAGATGGTGCAATATGACTCTCTTCTGTCAGTCTGCCCCAGGGCAGCTGTGGCTACAACTGTAGCTGCCTCCACCAGTGTGTGAATGTGAGAGTGAATGAATAGTGTAAAGCGCTTTGAGGATCTCGAAAAGCGCTGTATGCAGTCCATTATTATTATTACTCGAGTAATACCTCAGCCAATTTTGAAGTAGGTCAGATGACAGAAAAACATTCTCTTGCAACAAAATCTAAAGCCTTGCCTAGCCTAGCCTGCTTGGGGTGGCTGTAGCGCAGGAGATAGAGCAGGTCATCTACTGATTGGAAGGTTAGTGGTTTGATCCCTGGCTGCCCTTGTCTGCAGGCTAAATATCCTTGGGCAAGATACTAACCCCAAGGTGCTCTCCGATGCATTCATTGGAGTATGAATTTATGTGAATGTTAGCTTAACCTCCTAAGACCCAAACATGCATTTTTAACTTCTGTTTGCTATTTGGGCTGATTGGGACCTGATTAATGTAAAAACAAAGAATTACCTGATGATTTTTTTTAACTGATTTTTGTTTCTGAGAAAAATTAGATCCACATATGAGGACATTTGTTTTAAATTTTGATAGAAGAGTGGCAGTATGGTGTCCTCGTACGTGGTTATCAGTTCCTTGTATTGCAAAGTTGTGTATTTTGGTCTAGACAACCCAAAATGTGATGTCCACATATGTGGACGCCAGGTTCTAGGAGGTTAGGAAGCACCGAAGAAAGTGCTTGTATGAATGGGTGAATGTGGCATGTTGTATAAAGTGCTTTAGGTGCTCCAGGAGGGTAGAAAAGTGCTATGTACGTCCATTTACCATTTAGTTAATTTGTTAGCTAAACATCAGAAATTTGTATATCAGAAAACGTAATTGGATTTTCCTGTTCTCTGTTGCAGGATTTGAACTGATGGGAAGTGTCTCTAATTACTTCACTGATTTTGAGGATAAATCACAAGTGGTCGAGTGGAGAAATCTGGTTTATCTCATAGCCAAGAGGTACATTGGTGAGTGAGTTGAAGCAGACATCGTTAGTTTAGTTTTTTGTTTCGTACTTTTTTTGCATAATCAATAAGAATATTAAAAAGGACGACAGTGAAGAACAGTGAAGTCCAATAGGAGAGCCATAACAAATTACTATGCATTAAAATAATGAATAACAGTCATTTTTTTGACTAAAATGGTCCCAATTGAAGTATTCAGAAATCAGTCAGAAAATGTACTGTGGCGGGCATGTAAACATGTGATTTAGCTGAAACTAAATGGCTTAATCTGCACTGTGTCACCCTGCTCATGTGTTTTGTGATGACTGTCGTTGCTTGTTGTAAATTTCAGACAAATATGGCCTGGGAAGTGTTTCTCGATGGAACTTTGAAACATGGAATGAGCCCAACAACCATGACTTTGATAATGTTACTGTCTCAATTCAAGGTAAACCTGTGAGACATGGCTTGTGTGTGTGTGTGTGTGTGTGTGTGTGTGTGTGTGTGTGTGTGTGTGTGTGTGTTTGTGTTTGTAAACTGTTACCATTGATGAAAGGTAAGTCTGGGGTCCCCCCCTACTTATTTTCTCTTGTGTTTATAATAGTGTTATTTAATGTGAATGTAAACGGGCACACACATTATATGAAGTTATGCAGTTATGTTCCAAGAGCTGCTTTTGCCTAAAAGCACTAAACCAATTCTTCTGGAGCTTCTTTTATAAATTTGTGGAAATTCAAATGTTCTCGCCAGACAGTATGACAGTGCTGTGCTGTGGATTATCATTTTTTTCTCAAGGGTTTCTAAACTACTATGACGCCTGTTCTGAGGGTCTGCGTGCTGCCAGTACACTCCTGAGGTTTGGAGGTCCAGGAGACTCTTGTCACCCCCATCCACACTCCCCGTACTGCTGGGCCATGCTGCAGCACTGCTACAACGGCACCAACTACTTCACTGGAGAGACTGGGGTCAGACTGGACTATATAGCCCTGCACAAAAAGGTGTTTTCTTTTCTTAGCAAATAGAAAATGAAAGCAGCCTTGATTATGCTCTAGATTTGTGCTTATAGTTGCCAGAGAAATATAATTATCATTATGTTCATAGACTCAGCTGTTTTAGGAAAAACTATAGCTATTACTACACAAACTTGCTTAATTCCAGGCTGACTTCCTGTTTTCGATCTTACAGGGAGGAGGCTACTCCTTCCCCATCCTCCAGCAGGAGATCAAGACTGTAGGAGAGATCCAAGAGCGTTTCCCTAAGTTTCGCAGCCTGCCTGTTTACAATGACGAGGCTGATCCTCTGGTAGGGTGGTCCAGGCCTCAGGAGTGGAGGGCTGATGTGACCTATGCTGCAATGGTGGTAAAGGTGAGGCGAAGACATTTAAACGAACAGCATGGGTGGAAAAAAATATTTCACGTGGGAATTTATGTTTGTTAGAAGTGTCCAGTCTAGAACAATATCTTTCATTTAAACCTGAAAAGGACCGTACCAAATAGCTGATGTGAGCACGGCAGCTCTAAATTGCCGGACATCAAACTTTAATCGGTAATGGAGAGATTAGCAAATGCCCCCATATTTTGTGTATGATCTTCTTCCCATAGAAATGACCCCGACAACTTCATAAAATGTATTCATCAGACCAGTCTAAATGTGGGTATGGGATAAAAGAACTAATTTGTTGTCGGTGTGTTACGAGGAGCTTCTCTCTGCCAGTTAAATCACCCTGATCAAATCCTCTGCTGTCCACCTTCAAAAGATTATAAACCAGCACCAGGATATGTTGATGGCAAACCCAAACAGCACCATCAACTACACCCTGCTGAGCAACGACAATGCCTTCCTCAGCTACCACCCACACCCCTTCACCCAGCGCACATTGACCGCCCGCTTCCAGGTCAACAACACTCAGCCGCCTCATGTTCAACTCATCAGGAAGCCCGTCCTCACAGTCATGGCCCTGCTGGCTTTGCTAGGTGACATCTTTACCCTAGAACACATGTTCCCTCGGGGGGGAAAGGGGATGAATCGTTTAAACATGATTTAATTCGTATGTGTCCCTGTGATTCAAATTTTAGGAGAGACCCAGCTTCTGGCTCAGGTTGTGAACTCATCAGGAGGCCACAACGGCACACTGGGAGTTCTCGCCAGTAGCCACAAACCCGTAATGCCCGGTGGCTCAGACAGCTGGCAGGCAGCAGTGTTGGTGTACAACAGTGAGGACAACAGCACCTCTACCATCACCGACGATGTCACTGTCTCACTGAAAGGACTGCCTGCACAAAACGGTAACACTGTCAAGGGATTTGGAGTGTTTCTGTTTATCTGTGATGATTTCTGTAAGTCTGTTTGGTTAATTTTACTCCTCTTTGCTATCTGTTTGTTATCCAGGTCTAATGTATGTCACATATTACTTGGACAATAATGTAACCAACCCTTACGAGCTGTGGCAGAACACGGGGAGCCCTGACTACCCCACAGCAGAGCAGCTCAGACGCCTCAGGAGTGTGGAGGTAAACAGGACAGTTTTCTAGTTTTCTGCAATTATAATTGTATGTTTTTCAGTGTACAGCAAAACACGAAAGCTAAAAGTTATCTATCCTGTTTGATACACTACTCAGAGAAAATTAGGGGAAGACTTGATCATCACCACATGTCAGTTAAAAAAATTACCTTGAGCGAGTTGTTAATGTCCATTTCTGAGCATACTGCCAAAATCGGACTTCATCAGGATTGCATGTGGTCCTGATATTCTTTAGCGGCATCTATGGTCACAGCCCAGCACCGTGCGGCTTGATTGGCGTTCCCGAGAGATCAGCAGAACAGCTACTGGTGCCTTTTTCTCTTTACAGAAGAGAGCAGGTTGTCAGTGAGCACACGTGACAGGCATGAAAGAGCCTCGAAGGCTGTGGCACACTTTACGCCGTGCAATGATTCCCTCATTCCACCGAGTTAAACAGGCTTCTCTGCCTTTATTTTTTTTTATTTTTGATGAAGTTTTCTGCACACCACACTGTGAAAGCATGGATTTCCTCCCAGTATGAACTCTCATCATTTTTTGTTATCTAGTTGATGCCTGTGAGATTATTTTTATGTGAGTCTTTAAGACTTGAACTGATTTGACAGATCACTTTGACCTTTTCCTGCTCTCTCAAGTGCACTGAGACACGCTTTGACCTGATGTGTCATTGTCTCAGGGCCCCCACACTGACGGACCCTTGGACGTTCCTGCAGGAGACAGTCTGATTTTGAAAGCCAAATTGCCGGTGCCCTCCGTCCTCCTCATCCACGTCTGTGCCCGGCCGAAAGCTGTGCCAGACCAGGTTAGTACCAACACAACACAATGTTGTATAGATAAAATATCTCATATTACACTCGTGTCATAAATGAGTCTGAAAGACAATATTAGAAAATAGTAAGAAGGCTGAAGCTGCTTTAAAATATTTTAATTGATTATATTTTTAATTTTAAGCTAGAAAGAAGTCTGTAGAGCCAAGGCGAGTTTTTATGAGTAGGTCTATTTGCTAAATTTGTAATAAATGTATGTTTTTAAATGCTCTGTTGTCTATAAAATTAATCACAGATTTATATTTTTACACTGCGTTATATTTGACCTTCTTCAGGTCAACGGGTTACGCTTCATTAGGATCACTAAAGGTCAAGTCCTTATTATCTGGTCTGACCACTGTGTCAATTCAAAGTAGGTGTTTCTCATCCAAAACATTTCATTTCACTCTGCTTTAAAATGTATTATATGCATCTTTATCCTTTAAAGGTTGGACAACGTTAGTAAGGCTAACACCACTTTTATTATGTTATGCTTCGCAGATGCATCAAAACATATGAAGTGGAATTATCCACAGGCGGCAAGGCATTCGGCAAAATCAGCACCCAGAACACTATTTTTACTTCTTATGTTTATTCACCAGGTAAGAATTCACACTAAATTCTTCTAAATCTGAGACCTTTAGAGTCTGACTGTACAGAGAAATAATATCATGGTCTCTGTTGTGTTCTGTAGTGGACCAGGAGGTTAGTGGTCTGTACAGAGTTCGAGCTGTGGACTACTGGGGAAGGCCCGGCGAGTACTCGCTGCCAGAGAGATATTCAGAGGAGCATTAGTCCGAGATCTGGTCTGCTGGCTGTTATGTTATGTTTTGTTATTGTTTTATATAATGTAAATTTTTGGATTGGTGGATTTTGTATTTAATAAAGCATTGTATGTGGTCAGCTGTAATCATGTGAGTCAAGGTGTGAAATCACTGAATCCTCGCCCCACCCCATCATGTTGAGGTCACCTGAGGCAAGGTGTAAGTGAGGTTTGAGACGCTTGGGAAGGGATCTCTAGACTGCATTGTTGGTTTCTAATATCCGGTGTCTGGTCAAAGATGGTGGACACAGATCGTCTCCTTTACTGCTCTTTGAAAACATCTGTATTCTCGGTCCAAGGTGTGGACATTTGCATCCTTGAAAGAGTGACCTTTATCGTTCAGGTGCAGATGTTGTCATGTTGAGGTGGCTCTTCTACGGTGGCTGTTTGGTTTCTCCTATTTAGAGTCCGAGCACTACTCACCGCGCCGCACAACATACATTGTGTTATTCAGCTTGTGTTTGGGAGTGCATTGAGATGAACCAGTTTCTGTCTGAGGGTGTTGCTACATCTGAAGTGCAGGGGGAAGTCGTGGGACCACAATGTTGTTCTATTTCTGCCTGGTTGGTGTTTGAAACTCTTTCCTGTACATCTTTGCTGATTTGATTAAGGCTCAGATGAGATAAGCACAAGTTTTAGGACTTTTCTTTAAACACATCCTTTTCTTTCTTTCTCCTCTGCCTTGGAGGAAACATCCTCTGTGACTTCAAAAATTTGGGTTTCTAATTTTTCAAGCGAATCACTTCAAAAGAGTGAATAAACGGGATTGGATAAATAAGTGAACAGTAGATATGAAGTGCAGTTAAGGGAAATAAAAAGCCACCACAAGTTTCTTTACAAAATTTATTGTCACCGATGCAGAATGGCACAGTGCAGATGTTACCCACCAGTGTGACAGTTTGATACAGCTGGTTATTTGATGATATCCACTCCATCGCTAATAGTTTCCAGTGGATTTAAATTGTATTTTTGTCGTGGCAGGTTTAAAGTTTTCACAGGGTTATGGATTGGATTGGATTTATCTGATGTTGGTCACATAGTTGGAATGTGACAGGCTTATTCTCTTGGATCCACTTTAATGTAGGGTTGCTCAACATGCCCCAGATGAGCATTTGTTTAGCAAGCTCCTGTTGAAAACAGAGAGGAGGAACAAGTGTCAGATTAAGTCTTAAAATTCTTTCTCTGCATCAGAGCTTAAGCTAAACAATCCTCAACACAAGTCCTTGTTTTACATACCGGACTGCAGCACAGGCTGGAACTGTCCGGCCATGCAGATTTCCTCCTGCTTCTGGCGGACCACTCTCTGGATGGCAGGGGGGAGGCCACGGGGGTTGCGGGAGAAGACTAGAGCATAGCCATCCTCGCAGGTTCCGTCATCCTTCAGGGTGCGGCAGGCATAGGTGATGGCGTAGTTGTCATAGTCTGTATCAATGACCCAGTAGTTGTCACCTAGAAGTCAGGAATGAGAAATTAGTCCCAGCTCCACGAAGGAAAGACAGAGTGACAAAGAGAACATGATGAGCAGGCTTACCGCCACTGGACAGGTAACTGGCCAGGCCCTGGTAGTCCATAAACATTTTACCAGGGTTGCCAGGGTCAGGGACTGTGTACTGAGCAGCCATGTCAGCACAGACAACCCAGAACCTGAATACAGAGGAGAGGAAATATGCAGCAAATGCAAGCGTATTCATGACCTCACATTGAAGCTGCTACCAAGTATGTTGCAAATACCCACCCAAAGAGAGTGACTCTGCCTCTGGAGGAGGCCACCATGGAGCCATCATCGCCAACCGTGTACTCAGCAGAGATGTTGTCCTGCAGGAACAAACCCTCAGGATCTTTCTTCTGCAGAGCGTACCACTTCCCTGCGTACTGTTATAGGGAAGAAAGGGCAAAGATGAGCTTTATTTTGATTGGCATGTCTATAGTATGGATATACACACTGAAATGTGTGAATATCACAGTAAGTAGCACATAGTTCATAAGTTCATATGTGTGATTGTATGCCGATGATGTTCTGGTTTATACATGAGCCACATTGATCATTTTGTTCCTGTTTTGGTTATTTTTTTAACTACTTATTATACACCAGTGTTACTATAAATACAGTCAAGCTAATTCAGATTACAGAAAGTTCAAAAATACACAGAAAAAGTCTCAATTTTTGATCTCGTAATGAAAGGGTTAAGAAGTATCCTTAAAAGACACATTTGCGTACTCACTCTTTTGGGGTCAAAGTCCTGTTTGACTGTGAAGCTGTCCACCACACAGGAGGCCAGGCTGTGCTCCACACAGGCCAGAAGCATCATCACCAGAGCAAAGATTTGAAAATTCATCCTAACGCAAAACCCAAATTAACACTGTATTATGATTTGTTTATATAAAGGTGTAAAGTCAGCATTCCTAAATCATTTTGACACTAAAATCCTCATAAATGGTTTAAGAACAAGAAAGGGTTGTTCTTTGAGCTCCATATTTATTTGTAAAAATTTGAGCAAGTCCCTTAAAAGAAGCATCTCCTTACCTGAAGTAGGGAATGAAGAAGCCACAAGACGTTTTCAGTGCAGAGTTGTTGCAGTGAACTGTGGTGAGAAGACGCTGTGTGAGCCTTTTATACCCGACGCACAGACAGGCTCGCTGCTTATTTTCAGATTTTAAATCTACGGCTTATCCAGTTAACAAAATCCGCCGGCGTAAGCTGATGAACCCCCAGATTCAGCAGGCTTTATGTAATTCAGTGCAGGGCTACAGAATGGAATACAAGATAACAGATGCCCGGCAGGATAAGGCTGGCTGAGCCGCAGGTCACGTATGCACAGCAAAGGTGTTTACATGAGCAGGCAAATGTATTTTTAGCCCTGAGGATACATGAAAATGTATAAAGTGTACAGATTTACCCAGCCTGAGAAAGATGCAGGGTTCAAGAGAGATTCTGTCTTTCTACTGCATCTGTGTTTCCTTTAAATGTGTTCAAAATATTCCCAAAACCCTGAACAGGGACAGTTTTTCCAAGAGCATTAATGCTTTCTGTTATCATTATTAATATTAATTTAACACGATAAAACAAATCACTGCACTAATTACCTTAGTGTTTTGTTCTGCCAAGTCTATTTGTAGATTAAGCATTACTGCTCCGTCTCTTTAGCCTTTTTGCCTGTTCTGTTTTATTCAGGATGTTTTAACCTAAAATTATGTATTTTGTGAGTTCTTAAACTTTAACAACCAGTGGAAAGAAATCAAAAATCTGTTTTCCACCTTCAACAAACAGTACAAATGTACAACTGGTAAAACTGCAAAAAAAGAAAAAAATTATATATATGTACTGGATGTTGGGTCATGTTAGGTCAGCACAGGCTCAGGTGTTCCCGGCTGCTGCCACTTACTTGGTTAAGTAATCTGTCTCTTCTTCAGCTTCGCCCTGCAATGTGTCACACAGGAAACAGCTGAGCTGCATTATAGAAAGTTTACACCACTTATGCATCCTGCATGTGCAGAGGTCTAAAAATGCACAAGCTTCTGTTTTACAGGTATCAAGGTGAAGTTATATTCCAAAAGCGCTCACTTTACGATATTATATATCGTCTACATGGTTTATTTAGAAGAAAAAAGGATAAAGAAAAGCTCTTCTTTTGATTTTACAAATTTTGGAGTCAAATGTCGAGCAACTGGTTTTGTTTTTTCAGTTTTTGTGTCCCAGAATCCAAACGTAACCAGATCACTGTAATCCCTCTAACAGCTCTTGGGAGATATTTTTGTAAGGTAAGGAAGCCAATTTAAGACGAGTAGTGTGTCGGTAAATCCGGCTGCATTTTTCTGGCAGCCCTGTCATTGTTGTCGTTCTAACAATAACCTGTCCTGAAGATATTACATAAGACCTTTGTGCCCAACGTCCTCACCTTTTTAAATGCAGTCAAATCTTCGACACTGATGTGACCAGTCACGTGTCAGCAGTGTTAACTCTGCATCTCTAATCTGAAAACAAACGACAGGTTTAAATGATCCTGTTACAGACGCGCACTTGCTTAACTGGAAGGGAGCTCAGGTTGATCAGATCTGGACCAGAGCCATGTCAGGTTGATGACTGGTTCAAGTTGTATAACAAGCAGCTGAGTGTAGAAATATATGCATCCGTCTTATTTAATCATAGGCTGCAGTAACTATTTTGATACTCAACTAGCCATTCACTTTTCTCCCAATTAAAATTTCATTTTACAAAACTATCTTTTTGTGCATTAGTGAAAATAATTAATGACATAACTCTGGACTTTGGAAACAATAGAAATTATTTTTAGGCGATGCAATTAAACCAAAAGTAAGAGGTTGTTAAAATTGTTTTAACACCCAACCAATGTGGGTCACACTAAAAGTGAAAATGAATTTCCACATGAACTGTAATCTTAATTAAATGGGAAGTTTAGACAATAAGTATGAACTTTTCCACAGGTTCAGAAATACAGCAGGACTGAGCAGAGTGACAGACATGTGAATCTCAAATAAAGAGCATATGACTCAAACTTTGGAGTCATATTTATGCATTTAAATAAGTAAATCTAAATTAAAGATCAGCCACAAAATAAGTAAAATTTTACCTTTAAATCTATAAAATTATAATAAAGTGTTCCAGGCTGTCTTATTTAAAACTGACATCAAGGGCCTGGTGGCATGTCACCGTGCCAACATCTAAAAGGCTCTTTCAGGCTTTCAAAGAAAAGATTGTGAATGCCTGGCAAAAGGATTTAAGAGGATAAGTCATTCCACTGTAACAAAAACTACAGATCACCTCAGCCATGTTGCCAGTTAGTTCTCAGGCAGACGTATGACCACCTGTTAAATTATTTTAAAGAAATGTGGTTCACACGCACACAGAGTTATACTTCTTATGTCTTTATTGAAAAGCTTAAAGTGAAGGCTGGAGAAAGTGGACATAATACCTCAAAAGCTCCTTGGATTGAACAGGATTTGTATAAATTGGGTATTGACAACCTGTGCTCTTGGAGTGAGGTTGGAGGGAACAGTGCTTTCATCATCAACTTACACAGAGCAGCATTACGGAGGTGCACGAAAGTGGAGGAAAAAAATTAATCAATGCACTCCGTGTTTCATCAGCATTTCTGAAGAAGAAATGAGAGGTTTACTAAACTAACCAGCACCCCTTCATAAATGGTTCCCAGACAACTGTGCAAATTTTAAGTCGATGTTGTAAATGGAAACCAGTGATCCAAAAAGTTGTTGGCAGTAAAACAAAAAAAAGGTAACTGTAAATAATGATATATTTCTACATTTAATATGAAAAAGTGTTAATGCAGAAGCAATCGGGAATTCAGTTGACTGAAGGAGAACAAAGACCACAGTGCATATATGGCATTAAGAGTTCAAAAGCTTTACTCAATAATCCATGACTAACATTAAATCACAATATCTGGAAAACCAAAGGGCTGCTGTATTATCAAAGGTAACGGTGAACATGTCCACAAAATAGGAGTGTTTTTGAGTGGCAGTGACCCCATTTTGCCATAGCTACTCCAGAAAGAGTGGAAGAGGTTGGAAATTGCACATGGACGTGGACATCCTGGAACAGCACTCCAACGCTTTACTTCAGAATGCTGTCTTCATTTGCTGTGAGGACGAGAGCAAAATATGAGATTTGACAATGCAGTCGTGATTGAGACGTCCACATGTGAGCTGTACAGTATGTCTGCGTGAACAAGGTACCTTCTGCTAGCTGCTTGGCGATGCGCTCCTGCTCTTCACGGACCTTCTTCTCCTCCTCCTCAATCCTCCTCTCTTCCGCTGCAATAGGCTTCAGGTGATCTGAGCAAATCAGAACATTTATTAAGCTGAGGTGGAAGAAAAAGACACGCAGTTTCCTGATTTATGAGATACAACTATTGTCTTACACAGCACGTAGTATATAAGAAGCTCTGCCCAATGAATGGAAGTGTTTGACCTCATTACACTACACAGCTGCAGTAAAGGACAGTTCTAGTAACAACTTACCATATCTCCTTTTGCCATATATGATCCCAGCAATCAAAGCTGAGTACCTGGCTGTCTGCAATAGAAAATGTGTACATGTTAGTGTCAAAAACTCCACAATGAGCCGGCTCAGCCGCAAAAGAAAAAACACGATACAATTGTAAATGATAAATGATTTATGTCTGACAGTGAGAGCCATCCATCAGCCTCTGATGACCATTTGGTACCTAAAAAGCGAGCTACTTCAAAAACCCTCCAACAAAACACAGGAGGAAAAATGTTCCCAGTAAAAGTGGAAACAACAAAAGGTGTTTCACCACTTGAGGCAAAAAACACACCACCGAGTAAAACCTTGCCATAAAGAGGGAGATACTAGCAGCTGGTGTTGTGTGACCCAAATGTAAAATGACTCCACTGAGCATCGCTGGGGAACTCGCTGACTGCACCTCCATATGACAGGAAGGGCAAACGTGGATGGAAGTGACTGATGTGATCACATGGTGGAAAAACAAGGCTGTAAGCAGCTGGTTAAAAAGCTTGATCCAAGACAGAAAATATTTTTCAGTTTTATTATATGACAGCATGGTGCAGCTCCTGAAGGGTTAAGTTTACACTTTAGTTCAACAATAACCAAAGTGTTAAGCAGTTATACTTAACAGTTATAATGCACCTTGTTTTAATAGATTCACATTTCAATTATGGCAAATTTATTGAAATATTCTGATATTGTGTATTATACCGTCACACAGCTTTTTGTTTTGTAGATTTATAGTGTATATATTATTTATGAATGCAATATTCATTATTGTCTTACACAGTTTCAGTCTGTAGTATATATATACACATTTTTGCATTCTCATAGAATAATGCCCTTAGTAGGCGCCTGCAGCATTTTTAGTTTAACTTTGTTGTTTGCTCAATGTTTATTAAAGACTGTACTATTTGTATTCTTTATCCTGCTGCTGTAACACAAACTTCCCTTGTGGGATTAAAGTATTTATCATTTTGAAGCTGTATTTTCTAACACCAGCCGCTACACCTGATGAGCTTTCATTAGTACAAAACCCACATTTGACTGAGGATTTAAAGGGCATTAACGACAGGGCACAAAGAGTAACTCTTCCAGTAAAAAAATATCTAGTCTACAGTAACCTTATCCACCTGTCATTCACAGTATGACCAGTAGGGGGCAACAGCTTCGCTCCAAAACAAGAGTTTTCTGACAGCTGACAACTGAAGTAGAAGGCGAACAGCAGCTAAACTTGTTTGATGCAGAGACAAATACAAAAACAACACATTTTTAGAATTAGTCATTAGTTATTTCCGGTGACTCCACTTTACCAGCCAGTTAGCGCTGCGGCGTTTAAATGAAGGCAGCTTGTATTAACTATCAGTCAAATCAAGCGTGATGTTCCGTAACAGTCACTGTTCTCCCGCACACATGTACGGTCAGTGCAAGCTGAGCTGTACGGCACAATCAAACAACAGTACAACTCGGGCTGCAGCTGCTCATTCATAGTTTTAGTGACACAGCTGACAGCTAGCATGCCCCTGCTAAACGTTAGCAGGTTAGCGTGTTCTCGGTAGCTAACTAGCAGCCTAAAAGACGGCGGTTTGTGCCGTCTGACTATAAAACACTAGTTTTATAACAAAATGTGTGTCAATGCAAACCTTAATCAGAGGTGACACTGCAACCGGAGGAACCATAGTTTCACGGCAGGCTTACGATTAACAGCAGAGGTCACTTTAGCACCAACAGGAGGAAGAGCAGAGGTGTCTTCTTCTTTAGGTCTTTCTGCCGCTGGTGAACTGCTGCCACCTTCTGGAACAAGTGGTCCTCTTCAGCCTTGAGGCCTGGAGTTCCCCACGCCTGATCTAGGCTGCAGCTCAGGCTGTCCAAGAGCTCAGTGATCCCCTTGTCCAGATCTGGATGGAGATCCCCCAGGACACCATCCGTCATCGCATTAGGAACATGCCCCGACATTTTCATGTATTCACTATTTTTGAGCTACTGCAATGAAAATTCAGCAAAATGGACTAGACCGTCTACTTGTTCCAAACACATCAACCTGTCCATAACTGTACAGATATGAGCATGATGTCTTTTTCTCATTTAGACCGAATGTGTTTAAGTTTTTTGAAGAGTGTAGTTGATAAAAACTATAAAAAGAGTTTGGGTTTGTTTTGTTGTTGTTGTTGTTGTTGTTGTTCGCTTTGTTTTTCCCCTTTTCTTGATGCCAAAACTGTAAAAAGGAAGCAATGTCAGTCTATGGGACAATTTGTGATTGTTATTTGTGCTTCACAATAAAAATATTTGAAGAGAAAAACTATAAAAAGCAATCAACTCTGTACTGAATACAATAAAACAAAAATAAAGTTGATGCGAAATGTCTTTAGCATTGCAAATGCTGTTTTGTGCTGTGATATGTACTAAACTACTCAACTTCCTCAACCATGCCTCCATGTAACAGTGCTGTGCCACCCTGTGGACTGTTTTTCTAATTAAATGCAAACATCTGATCTTCTTTTATCTGTCTATATTCAGTCATAGAGTTTGTCTACATCTGAAAATAATGTAGAAACTGTTCTTCAGACTTGAAGCACAGACATAACACTGGGTTCATTCCCTTACTGATGCTGCCATCCAGCAATAATAATAATAATGATAATAATAATAATAATAATAATAATAATGATAATGATAATAATAATAATAATAATAATAATAATAATAATAATAATACTTCATAATCCACGTTTTCCACAGAAATAAGGTCTATGAGCTAAATGGAAAATCAAAACCCAAGCCCATTATTAAATATGTCAATAATACTTAGCGTTAGCTTGATTTATTCATTTTAAACCAGTTTTATTTTCGGTTTGGGATCATGGTCCTGTTTGAACACCCAACTCTGTCTAAGTTTCAACCTTCTAGCTGTTTTGAGGTGAAGAATTTGAAGGTATTCTTCCTTCTTAGTTATTCCATCAACTTTGTGCAATGTAACAACCACTGGCAGCAAAACAGCACCATAACATGATGCTACCACCACCACCATGCTTGACAGCTGGTACAGTATTAGTTTTGACAGCCACACCTTTACTCCTCCAAACATACCTCTTATCATTGTTGCCGAATCACTTGATATTTGTTCATTCTTATCATAAAACATTTGTTAGAAGGCTCGATTTGCCTCGATGTTGATTTTAAAGCAGGGGCTTCTTTCTCGGTCAGCACCCTCTCTGTCCATGGTAATATAAAACTGACTTCACTGTGGACAGTAATGCTGGTGTTCCAGCAGTTTGAGTCTGGCTGGTTCTTGAGTTGTTCCTGAAAATCCTAACCAATTTCCCCTCATCTGATATTGATAGTTCAGGTGTTTTTTCAAGAATTTAGCAAAGTGATGTCACATTTGAACAGCATGTACCTACATATAGAAAGAGGCCTTCCCAACCTGTGTAAATCTACAATTTCCGTTCTTAGATTAGACACCGAGTTCCTTGAAATCTCCCATTGTTCTGAGTGTTGGTAATTCCAAGGAAAAGCTACAAGTTGTGGTCAGTCATGATCACTAAGAAGTTAAAATGCTTTGTCAGGTTAAAAGACAGTGTGGAGCCTTCAGCACCAATTATTAAAGATTTAAGAGAACATGTGTATATATTTGAGTCTGCATGTATATTTTGACCCTGTGTGTATTAGGAAAAATCCAGAAGTCATTAAAGATGTTTGCTGTCCAATCATTAGAACCTGGAAAAAGAACAGTTCAAATAAATTGTTAAGGGCCCAAAATTACCATGATGTTCATGTTGAGTACATGTGAACTTCTGACTACAGCTGTATATGTAACTGCTGGGTCTCCGAGGTAATCCGACCAGCTCTTTTAATGTATTCCTAGATCCAGGTTAAAGACAACAGGAGACTGGGATTTTGAGGTTGTGGCTCCCAAGTTGTGAAACTCGCTTCCAGTAATTGGACCTTCTTTTTTTTTTTAACAAAAAAAACCCCCTTTAAGACCCACATGTGTGAGATTTGCTTTAATTGGTTTTATCCATTTGTAGTTTTAACTGTTGTATCCTATTTTGTACTGCAAAGCCCTGTGATGTTTGTTCTTGAAAAGTGCAGTTTAAATGAACTTGTTTACAATCAGTCACTGAGGAGACTCTCTCTGTGAGGAAAACAGCATTTATTGAAAACAGTGTTTGAGACAGCATATGTCTCAAAGCCAATAAATCATACCGCGTACATTGGCGGAATGATTTACTTGCTTTGCATGCAGATTTGCAAAATGACCGAATACTGCAAACACATGAAAAGCAGCGCTGCACTACAAAGTTCACCAAGTAAACAGATCACCTGTGTGAACACTGATTTAAAGCACTTCAGATGCAAAGGAAAGGAAACTTTGTTCAGCTGCCTCTTAAAAGCGTCTCTTCCTAAATTTCACTGAGCTACACTGTAGATGTGTATAAGGACCTATGCCCTGCCTATGCCCGAGAGAAAAGGATTAAAGGATTTTCATTCATTCTATAGGTATCCAGGTGAACTCTGACCTCTTTATCCAAACATTTAGATGTTGATGAGATTACAGATTTTCACTCTGGGAAATTAAGAGTACTGCTTTTAAAACATTTCACTTAAAAATTATGCATTTTAATTTGACTTTAAGTTAAAAAAAAAAAACAACCTCTTCACAGCATGGATAAAACAATCATATGTAAACATATTTTTACACTCTAGATGCTTTTACGGAGAGAATTATTCCCATTTTTGCACCAAGGGTAAATACTGTAGATGTGCACAATTTAATAAATGTTGGCCACAAACGTTTCTTTGTCTCTCTTTTGATATAGTGCATAGTTGACAAAATATCTTGTAGATTTGAAGAATGTTTACATTTGTGGTATTCTTGAAACAAATATTTCTAAATTATGCTTTTAATGCTTGAATATTCCTTAATAAAAATATAATTTCCTGTAAGAAAATTTAAAGGGACCAGTTTTCCCCTTCTTCTCGGCACACTGTGTGCCAGATTTTCACTCTGAACTCAGTTTAATAGCTAACTAGTCTGGAGGGTGTCGACAGCCATATGCTTCCCTCACAAAAGCTGCCAACTAGCTGGAGCGCCCCACTCCAGTAAGCTGAGTGGTTTCTTTCTTTTCTTTTCTTTTGTCCCTGTTCTAGTTTCACAGTGAAGCATATTAGTTTGTTCTATAAAGAAGAAACAATCAGTGTGCATGACATTGGTGGTTTCCAAAGCAGTGTTCCAGGGTTTTCACCGTCCTCTTGCCAAATTTCACCTTCCCTCGGTTCTTCAGGGAGGCGGTGTACTGGTTGGACTTGAGTTTGGAGTAGTAGTCTGAGAACTTGTTGAAGAGGATAGATATGGGCAGGCCATTGAGGATGATTCCAAAAGCAATGCAGATGAAGGCAAAAATACGGCCTAGCATGGTCTCTGGATAGACGTCTCCGTAGCCCACAGTGGAGATGCTGACCTGCAGCGAAGACAGGAAAACGGTCAGTGCTGATGGAAAAAACATCCCAGAAATAAACAGTAGGCACGTTTAGCCAGGGCCCAGCTAAACTGACCTAAAGCTTTCTCTGCTTTTGGCTGCCTATTGTAATCTAAACCATCATGTTGTATTAAATACGCCTTCAAACGAATGACTGAGGCCACCAGGAAAGTGTTTACTGAGGTTATAGATGAAGTGAGCAGCATGCTCATATTCACACTCACTTCTAAACAGGAGATGCCCCCTGTTGGCCATAAGATAGAATGTACATTACAGCCAACTTTTCTATACAGCTTATGGACAGTGTTAAGAGAACTTTCTTTTGTAACTCTCTTAACCGTCCTAACAACAAGCCTGGCCTCCTCTTTAGAGTACAGCGTCCATGAACAAGAGTTTGTAAATGCTTCTGTATATCTCAGTGCTGCAAATTGTAGGTATGCTAAAAATAATTATGTTAAAAAAAATGCAAACGTTCATCTATCTATTTTCCACCACTTCTCAAATTCCAGGTTGCTTCCAGGCTAGAGCCTATCCCATCTGCCATGGGGCAAAGGAGGGGGTACACCCTGGACAGGTCCCCAGCCCATCGCAGCGTTAACACACCATGCCACTACTTATTACATCTGATTATTAGATATTAATAATAATCACTGCTACACGAATACTTACGGTGAGATGACACATGACAATTTGTTTGTACATCAGGACATGCACTGGCTAGCAAACCACCTTTGTAGTAGTTATAAATCTTGCCCTAGAGTGGTTCAGTTTTGCTGAATTTCACTGCTTTCCCCTCCTGCTGACAGACTCACAGTCAGGCTGTATTGTGTAAATACATTCAGACATTTAGTTAGAAAGCACCCACACTGCCCCTTGATCCATGAGCACTTTTGTCAGACACCAGTTCAGTTTTCATAAGGTATCCTGCCACCAGACTGCAGGTAAACTGTCTTAGAAGTAGGTGGTTCGATGACTCACTGTATGTGAATTTACATTAATGCAATGGGAGTCGGTAGCCTTGAGCAGCATTCAGAGTTCTATAAACATGACTATCATTCAGAGGATTATTGTTTCTTTCCTTTGGATTAGATGTAAGATTCTACCACCTGGTTTAGGGGAGGGAGGGAAAGGATCTGTTAATGGGTTTATTCATGGTGGCAGGCAGACTCTGTGAATCAAGATGTTAACCTCTTAAACTCCAGCACAGACACTACTGGAGTTATGACTGTTCCACCCTCTAAAACTTGACAAGGTGCCCCACAAAATATTCAATACACAATTCCTAGGAAGCGCAGGGAGACATGTCCTTAATCAGAGC